GTTACCAGTTTAAGTTCATATATACACACTCTAGAATGTGAACATCAGTGAGGTAATGACAAACAGGACTCACCTGGGTCGTTTCGGACCTTTAACCTTTTGACACGCAGAGGTTGTATGCGACCCAAGTTTACATGTAAAAGTTAATAAATAACCATACTGTATATTTTCACTTTGACCGGAAATATCGGTGCGCCTTTATAATACGTCATTTCAAAGCTTAGACGTTCGTTTTTCGGCATGTTTATGAATCTCAGTGAGGATTTACGGCATAAAAACAGAAACGTCTTAATTTACGGCAGTAAATAGCTCTTAATCTTATTGCTAGCCTGTGGCATGACCGATAAAAAACAGTTTAATATACTAAAAACAAACTTTTAAAGACAAACATGAGCTCGATTTAAAGAATAAAACTCCGCAAATTAACTTCAGCTCATTTGAGTTGAACCGGGAGTAAAAATAACCTGAAAAAAACTTAATTTATTCTCTCGTTAAGTTTTATCAGAGCTACGCAAACTTCAAAAACTCGGACATTAAAATCTGTTTTTAAGTATGGATAAATAATTTTACCTGTCAAGTTTGGTATCTCTGAAATCTCTAAAGGCCAGCGACCAGAGTTAACCAATCGGTATCTTTCTCCGACATAAGGCGACACACTCTGAAAACCGTTAATCAAAGCAACCAATCAGAGAAGGACAGCTTTACGTTGGCTAAGTGAATGTTTGGTTGACAGCTACTGTCATCAAATAGAAAGCCATCGTAGTCCAACTACTCTCAGTTTGAAACCGGGGAAATCACTTTTCTGACCATATATAGAAATTACTATAGTTAGCCTCATTGTTAAATGAAATGAACAAAAAAATCAAAGAAAACAATTTTATTTGTCGAAATCACTTGATTAAATTGTGATACATATATAAATCTTTATTTTAATTATTTGGGACATCGTTTTTTAGTAGAGTTTAGCATTTAAGAACATTTGGAATGTAAAAAAAATAGAATCATTCCTCATTATTTGTTACCTTGGGGATATTTTTGTGGAGTTGTGAAATAATTTTTTTTTAGATTTTTTGCTTTGCATATTGACATAATCTTTGAAATATCTTAGAGCCACTTCTATATATCAATATAAAACTTGGCACATTTATTGTAAATAAAATGAAGAAGATATCCTGTAAATTTCAGCCTTGTAGCCCTCATAATGAATGATTAATTGTATTTAAAATATGAAGTAAAAGCTTAAAAACAGCAGGGCTTCAGTCATTTCATGTATAAGCCTCAAGCAAATGATCTGTGTTAGAGCTAAAGGTAAAACTAACAGACCACATTAAATATCACATATTTGACTTCACAGTGATCAAACAGGCAGGTATCAGATATTTATGGTTCAGAAATAATTTAAAAGTTTATTCTGGTAGTTACAGACATGCAGAAGTGCACATGACTGTGAGAGGCTCTAACAGATTAATATGGGCTCTGAAAATGGAAGAAAAATATTAAAGGTGACTGTGGTCTCATCAACTTAGCAGTCAAATAATACTAGAGAAAAGAAACTCAGAAGTGTTAAACTGTTATGTTACACATATTAAAAAAATAAAAAGAAGGCACAGTCACAGATTCCATAAACGTGCATATACATTTACTCAAGAGGCTGGTTTATGGTGCTGGATGTGCTATAAGCACACGTTTAGAAAACACTTTGAACAGCTTTGTGTCTGATATATCAGGAGAAGTGAATATTTATTTATTTGGCGTTTATAGCTGCATTCACAGAGATTTAATTTTCATTTTGTGAATACTCTATGATGAGCACCTCAGTAGAAAGGTGCAGGACCAGCATGCACATGGGAAGTTCTCGGGGTACGTTCCAAAAGTACCTCTTAACTATACCTAGCCTTGGTTTTAATGAAAGATGGGTAGAACCAATAAGGAGTTAGGAAAAGAGAAAAGAAGAGGAAAAGAGATGAGAAGAGGCATGCGCCTCAGTGGGAACGACCTTGCATTAGTCGCTCCTTAATGACATGACACTAGCTGTCTGCTGTGTAGAAACTAGTCTGAGAAGGACTAAAAAAATGTTCATCTTACCACACTGTGTCCTATCTCTGCTGTTTTATACATTTCAAATAAACAAGAACAGCCTGTGAAAAATATCCCTTCATTCCAAAAATGGGTATGTTAAAGAAGAAGGAATATTTAGGGTCTAGTACTAATGTCTGCAGCAGCACAAAATCTCCTTTTGATGTTAAAAAGCTTTTGCATTTACTGAAGCTGGAATCACGGCATATGTATTTGTAAGATTTAAATGAGTCACCCTAATGTGAATTAGAAAATCTGTGGGTCAGAATTTATTGCAAATTGCAGAAAATTATGTCTTCTGTCTGTTGTGGTTGTAATATTTAGAAAGGTTTCTGTTAAGGAGGAGGAGAGGTTATCAGATTAGATGACTTAATTTTTGAGCACGGTGCCAAAACTCTCTGCCCTAAAACTCTTCACTCGGTCACGCTGAGTGTTTAGAGGCGACCCACACCCGCTAATCAATAATCCGGGGATTTTACTAAAACAGAGCGGAAATGAACTGAACCAAGTTGTTGTTTTCTCAACAGTGAGTGATTTCTCTCTGCTGCATCTTTGTAAATAATTTATAATCCAGTGTTCAAAGATCACCCTACAATTGCAGCATAGCAATCATTTGTCCTGTTTAGCGATTCCACCCTATAGCCAATAATAAAATACTTCCTGCATCCAATACTTTTACTAGACTTTTACTAGGATAATCTTAAAGTCTGCAATATAGCAAAGAACATTAATGCAAACTAAAAATAATAAATGATTTATAAAAGCACTCACCAACAACAAGCTCAACAAGGAATGTTTTTTTGCTGTTTGGAAAAAAACAGGTGTAGTTTCCTTTGTCCTTCAATCGGGTGTTATTTATTCTTATGGAGGCATTGCCATCCATCAGCTTTTCCGGAAAATGTGAGACTCGACCTTTGAACTGATCATCTTGATCTGAGAGGCCATTATTGTGATGGGCACCCCTATCATACATGAACACCTGCTTTCGAGGATCTGTTCCTTCCTTCTTCCAGTCAAACTTCATTAACTCAATGTTCTCAACGTTGGTGTCAAAGAAACACGGTAAAATAGCATCATCATCTTCTTTCACAACCATAGGCGTCCCTGAAAGGCAAAATATGAATCAAACAATGTAAACACATACAGAGTTAGGAGAATAGAAGGAAAGTCAGGTATAAGTCACGGGCAGCCAATCAGAAGAAAGCTGGTTTATAGCTACGTTTTTCAAATGTGTTTGTCATGCCTCCTTTCAGAAGCTAAAAAATTTCAAGGTAGATTTTTACTTTTCGCATGTTTTACGAGCATGTTGTACCTTTTACATAATATTCTGTTTAGTATTTATTATTGCTTTGGTTTGTTGAAAAAAAAAAACCCCATACATTTGTTTGAAGGTGACTGGTTCTTATATAGCAGTTTTTTTATTCTAACTCAGCATTTAAAGTGCTTTATACAACTTGACTCATTTACCCATTTATACAAATACTTTTTTCTATACTTTAGTTAGTGCATTCTATTGTTAGAGTGATTGTTTATCCATCTTTAGGAATCACCAGTCAAAACACTTCGTCTTTTGGTGCATTTATTAAAGCTTTAGATGATCAAAAATGAGCATGTACATGGACTCTTCTGTTAAGTCTGCAGCCAACTTCCCAAAAGAGAGTACTTATCTTAGCATAACACAAAGTCTTATATGAGAATTTGGATCTTTCTGATTGGTTAAAACTGGTGGGGGGAAGTTGATGGTTTTGCAAGAACTGAGCTAAGAGCCATCTCGTCAGGCCAGGACTGCAGTCTATTTACACCTACAGGCCAGTGGGCACTCTTTCTCTTTGAGGAGGATGTTCACATCCTGGACAGGAAGGAACACTGGTTTGAGGGCGGAGTCAAGGAGGCCATTTACGTGAAAAGGGAAAGACCATCTCTGAATCGAGGAGGGGGCCTAAGGATACATCTGTCACCATCTTACAATGCTGTGATTGCAGCCATTCCCCACCTCTCTGAATGATACTCATGGTTATTGATCAGTGGTCTTTGATCAATGAGCTTTGATCAACACTTTTTGATCAATGATCATGAGAATTTGCATATTAATGATCAAGGAACTGACCTCCCAGCCCATTGTTCCATTAGTGATGCTAGGGATTCTCACTGTATCGAAGAAAACCTTAGGATTTCTTTTTCCTACTGCAAGTACTTAAGAGAAATAAGCGGCTCTCGAGTATTTTACTATGTCATTAAAGGTAAATAGTAGTTCTTTTAATTGGAGCTTATGAACCTCACGTTTTGTGGCTTTCCACAGGCGCTCAGTTTTGCAGCAAATTCGCCTAAAGCTGCGGATAGCTTCTGCGAACCAGGGCGTGGATTAAACAGTGCTACCTTTCCTGATTTTAAGAGGAGCCATTTTATCTAGAATTTTTTGACATTGCGAATCGAAGGAGGCCACATGCTGCTCTACATCATCAGATTCAGGTAGATTATTATCAAACAACTGCACAAATTCTTCCACCACAGAGTTAGTAATTAATCGGGAATGCTTCAATGCTTAAATGCTTCAATACTTCAATGGGGTGGCTGTAGCTCAGTCGGTAGTGCAGGTCATTTACTGATCTGACTGTTGGTGGTTCAATTCCTGGCTTCCTGCTAATCTACATGCCAAATATCTTTGGGCAAGATACTCTCCCCACTTTGCTGCATGCATCCATCGGAGTGTATGAACGTTAGATAGACACTAACAGCTTAGGAAAAGTGCTTGTGTGATAAGGTGAATGAATTAGTTGTATAAAGTGCTTTGAGTGCTCAGATAGAGTAGAAAAACACTGTATAAGAACCAGTCCATTTACCATTTACATGAACAGAGGGCAGAGTATCATAGGTAAAGGAGAGATCAAATAAAAGATATTTGCACTGGTGTTGGCCAGAGGGGCCGATGGTGCGATATGGCAGCCTCGCTTCTGTCAGTCTGCCCCAGGGCAGCTGTGGTACAACCATAGCTGCCTCCACCAGTGTGTGAATGCGAGAGTGAATGAATAGTGGCATTGTAAAGCGCTTTGGGTGCCTTGAAAAGCGCTATATAAATCCAATCCATTATTATTATTATGATCGCTAATAAAAATGACAAACTGGACCAATATCCAGACACAGTGATAGAATCAGATCCAGGGTGTGGCGACCACTGTGTGTTGGCCCAGTCACATGTTGGGCAAAATTAAGAAACTCCTAGCCAATCCTGGTGGTAGAAGGGATTAGTCCTATTAATCTTCATCATCTGAATCTCAAAAGATTTAAAAGAAGGGGTCTTCACCAGATGACAGAAAAAGGAGTTTCTAGCAATAACAGCCAGCCCACCTCCATGTCCTGAAAGACGCGGTGTGGTTAGACAAAAACAGTCTGCTGTGCACAGTTCATAAAATGAACAAATTCCATATTCCGCTGCCAAGTTTCAGAAAGGAACATAAAATCCAAGTTATTCCTAATAAAAAGATCATTGAGGACAAATGCCTTATTTGAGATCGAACAGCACTTTAATAGGATCATCTTAATTGGCAGGGCTGAAGAATCTCTGTTTAAATTCTAAGGGGCTTGGCACAGGTTTGCCCTGCACACTCTCCGGGACTTCTTACCGTTTATCATAAGCTGTGTTACAATTAAATGCTCTTAAGTACAGGTCTTTAACAAGATCTTAAATAATCAGGCCCCATCTTATCTTAATGACCTTATAGTACCATATTGCCCTATTAGAGGACTTCGCTCTCACACTGCAGGCTTACTTGTTGTTCCTAGAGTATTTAAAAGTAGTACATCCCTCCATTCTACTCCATCCTTAGCTAAGCATCTCACTCAGCTAAAGTCCAATGCATTCAGTGATATTGTCCACCTACTTCTTTTGCCCCCCTCTTCTTCTGCCTCCATGTGTAGTACATTCCAAAATGGCCATGGCGTGGCCTGATTAGCTGGTTAATTATATCACTGCAGTGTCCTGTATCCTGTCTTCCTCCCCTCAACCCAACCGGTTGCAGCAGATGGCCCCGCCCCTCCCTGAGCCTAGTTCGGCTGGAGGTTTCTTCCTGTTAAAAGGGAGTTTTTCCTTCTGACTGTTGACAAATCACTTTCTCATAGGGGGTCATATAATTGTTGGGGTTTTCTCTGTTTTCTTTGTATTATTGTAGGGTCTTTACCGTACAATATGAATCAACTTGAGGAAACCGTTGTTGTAATTTGGCGCTATAAAAATAAAATTTAATTGACCCCCCAAACTGGATGGCTCCACCAGATCCCTGGAACAACAGCAGCATCAAGATCTCTGTCCAGAAGAGTGCAGTCAAAAGAACAGCAAAGAGACTGCACAGGCCTCTGGTAGAGGACCCGAGCTTTAAGGATGAAGCTCAAATAAAATTAGGGTTTTTTTTTTGTTTTGTTTTGTTTTAATAAAACAAAACAAAACAAAAAAAAACCTTTGCATAGCGGGCACAACAAATTTCATATTCGGGCAGAAATCAATGTAAAACTGTCGGTGTCTCCACAGTAAGGAAAGCAGATGTCTGTTTGCAGGAAGCAGCCCACTAACAGTAACTCATGGCGCATTTATGTATTGTATAAGATGCTGCACATTAATCTGCTCTCTCATTATTTCAACGCTAAAATGCGGCCGCGTTTTAAAAGCTGATGTCACAGGTGTAAATGCCGCAGTCATCCACCCACTAACGCAGCAGCCTGAGCAGCGTTAAAGCTCCATCCACTGCTGTGAAACGTGACAGCGCCTGCACACATGATCAGTCTAAATCAATGAGTTTCTTACCGGATTCTGCCCCATACGTCAGTCCGGACAAAGTCAGGAAACAGAAGCTCAGAAACAGAAGTGCTAGAAGCTCCATGTCTGCAGAAACCCTCTGAGGATCAAACGTTACAGTGTGTCTTTAATAAAACGGAGCTCGGAGTCACTCCTCCCACCGCACTGACGCGCTACAAAACACTTTCAGTTTCTATTCTGTGAAAGTAAGCAATAAAGTGTATGTTTCATCATCAGTGCCTTTGTGATTTAACTTGTATAATAACAGTGACAGTTAAACAGAAACGGGGTGTGTGTAACAAGGGCCACCTGGTAGGTTGCTGCCCTCTGTCGTGTGATTGGTAGAGGAGCTTTGAAAAGGTAGTGGGTGTGAGGTGAGGTCAGCTCTCTTCTTTGGGAATTTCCAGAGACGATTAACTTTTGCGTGTTTTTGGACTTTGTAGTGTGACTACAAGTTTTAATGTTTGAATAAATTAAGCTCTAGTTCGACTGTGCGTGGGGAAATTGAGCAACATTGTAGGTATATTGGGTGTTTTTTTTTGGTTTTTTTTGCTTGTTTGTTGTTGTTGTTTTAAGATTTGTAATTATTTGTTTTAATGTTTTAATAAAATTGATCGTTTTATTGTGCAATATTTTAATTGATAATTTATTAGTGTTTTGCAGCTGCAGCATTTGTGCTGTTTCGTTTGTCCTTTTTTGTTTTTTTGATTTATTTGCAATTTTGTTTTGGTTTGTTATTCCTAAATATCGGCATTTTTTTTATTCAGGTGTGGGAAAATACTTATGAGAATGCACTCCACAACTAATAATATGAAGGTGATAAGGAGATATATCATACTTGATTCAAAACACTGGACCAGCCATATTTTGTAAGGTCTGTTTAAAGCAGACTCAAAAAAAATTTAAGATCAAGGAGACTGGAAGGAGGATACTGAAATAGGAGATTTCCCCTCATGTCTTGTCTTTCACTATGTAACAATTGTGTCATTAGACATCACACCTGCGAAAGATACCAAGGAGGGACAATCCATAATCCATCTTTCAGCTGGATCATGGATTTACACCATGTGTATAAGGAAGGAACTGTTGGGATTTATGTTTATCTGTATAGTTAATATCTCATAATTAGCATCACATATTTGTGTTTTATAAAACACTGCAAACTGTGTATTGTGGAGACATTTTGGAGATGGACTGTTACCCTGATATTATTAGACAAGACAGAGAGGGGCCCATTCTTTAAGGAATTTGAGTGGAGGCATCAGAGGGCCTGACTCTAGGACCCGAGATGGTTGTCTTGGTAACGGGAGTGTTGCCACCATCTCCAAATAGGGAGATACCCAGAAAGTTGCAGAAGAAGAAAGAAAGAAATGTGAGCCGAAGTGCTGGATTTCAGTCAAATAAGGAAAACTGTGGCTTCCTCCATCTTTTGACCAATCACCTTAGTGTCCTCTTTATCACACATAATAAAAAGCATTTACTGTCTGGGTGTGATGCTCTTTGTTTGTTTGGGTCTCCTGAGCGAGCAGAGAGAGTTCTTTGTACCACAGACCTTCAAATATCTCTAAAATTAGAAATATCCTGTCTTAGAGTGACGCTGAAAAACTAGTTTATGCCGTCATTACTTCCAGGCTGGACGACTGTTATTCATTATTATCAGGATGTCCTAAAAACTCCCTGAAAAGCCTTCAGTTAATCCAAAATGCTGCAGCAAGAGT